CCCTACACAGAGTCAGAGACAGCATACATATTCCAGTGTCCTGTCCACGTAAGGGAGGCAGAGGTTTAAGTTCATGACTTCTGAGAGCTCTGATAAGTTTTCAATTAGCTGTGAATGAGACAGCTTGAACCAACTGGATGCTTGATGCAATTGCATTCATATAATTTTGAGCCTTTCTTTTCTAAGTCCCACAAATTTTCCATCTGGGAACTTCTTTGGGGAGTTATCTGTCTCACTTCAGCAGTTACTCTGGGTGATGGGTGGGCTGGAAGCAGCATGCATGGTTGGTTATGAACTAAAAGGGCAGTGCAGCTGTAATTTAGGAAGCCTGTATGCTTCTGTCTGACAAGCCAGAAATAAACAGCTTTCTCTGCTTCAGATTGTCACCCCAAACTTTCACCTTTAAAGTGCCTCATGTAGATTTACAACTTAGGTGACCTATCACTGCAGTTTGTCTGAGCCATTCATCTCTCTCCTTGCCTGCTGGTCATTCTTCCTAACTTTCTTACGTTTGTCTTTCCTTTGCCTGAGATTCCGCTATCTCTGCAGATTCAGTGCTCCCTTGTGCTGTTAATCTGCAGGGAGAAGGTACCTGTGGTCCCAGAGAGGCCTGCAGATTTGCTGAGGGCAACACAGATACTCTTCTAATCAGCGTAAAGATCCCTCCTCAGGGTATTCAGGGACTTTAGCTCTAGTGGGAGATCTAGAAACATCCCAGCTATCCGATGGACACAGTGCTTAAAATACCAACCAGAGGAAACTTGGACCCAGATCCAGCAAATGCTTGGGTCTCATCTTCCCTTTGATTTTAACCAGCCCTAAACCCTGACCTGTAGGCTTCTCAATCAGCTAATATTACAATGTGGAGCAAAGCAACATTTAACCTTTGAAAATTTGGGCTATAGTATAAAGCTTTTCAGCACTTTGAATTTTTTTTTTTTTCCCCTGTAGGCATATACAAATATTCAGAGAACCAGATGTTAGTAAACTGAAGAAAAACTATTGCCGCAATCCAGATGATGATTTTCACGGTCCGTGGTGTTACACAGATGATCCTCTTGTTCCCTGGGATTACTGTCCTATTTCTCGATGTGAGTACTTGGTATGCCTCAGGCATTGTCAGCTGTGCAGTCCCAGTGAAGCTGTGGTGTCACATGTGTATACATACCTTTCTGTTGTCACTTGTGGCAGCAGAAAATGTGTAATTCTGTCAAGAATCAATTGTGCATGACTAAGAAGGACAGAAGCTGCTTGTGCAATATATGAACAAGGGGTCCTTTTCCTTGACCAGCTTGGAGATTTCAAGGCTTATTTATGCAGAAGGAGCATAAAAGAGCTGTTACAAATGGTCAAACATTTTCCAACAGATCTAGCTATTGAATTAGGGCTGGACGGAGACAAAGAATTGTCTAGTGGTCAGAATGCTGGCTGTGGCCTCAAGAAACCCAGGGACAGTTATCTTCTGTGCTACAAACTTCATAGTCTCTTTATGTGATCTGTATTTGTTTGTAAGGTTAGGATAACTCGCTATATATATGCTGAAGTATATATGTGCTATATAGATTAAATTCTGCTTTCAGATGTTTATGGGATGATTTAACTCCTGGCAAGAATTAGGAACATCACTCCTCCAAAGCTGCACGTTAAAATCTAAAGAGCTTCAATAAACAGAATTGAAAATCCTAGGGAATTCAGTAATAAACTGACATTAAGTGGAAAAAAATAGGTTTATGTGGAAAAATGTGCAATTCACATTTATGTTCAAAATTTTTCTCTTCAATTCTTATTTCTAAATCACTGTGCTCTCTATCCTGGGAGAACATTTAAATGGTAAATCAGGCTTTTGAATGCATGTCTGTGACCTCTAGAGGTTAAGGATAACGTTACATTCATTCCCAGCAGCAATCTGCTGCATTTCCGCATACTCTGAACTGCAGCTTCTCTAAGAGGTGGTATTTGAAGTCTCAGGTGATATTTTGGCATCTATGTGAAGAGTAAAAAAAAAAGTGAAAAAGTTTATTTGTGTCAATGTATTTTATTCACTCGTTCTGAGTTCATTATCTGGATCTATGAATTCCTAAGGAAATATTCACATCAAACATTTGTAGGGTATATTGCAATGGTGAGTATTATGATTTCTGGAATCAAACTCCAGAGCTGGAATATGTCTGTTTTACAGTTGTAACTTGTATGGACTAGTATTAAACTACTAGTAGCTCACTCAGGTACTGATAACCAGTTTAACCAGTCCAGACAAAATGCTGGCAGTTCCCAAGTATACTTCCTTGATGCCTTTAACTGGTCTCTTCAAACTGCACTATACATACATTCATAAGTATACATATGTACATACACATATACATAAGCATACACATACACATATGTATATGTGTACACATACACATGGAGATTTAACTATGTGTATAACTGTATACCTTTATATATATATCTCTATTTTCTTAATGATGGAAATCTAGTTGGATGAGACTTCAGTAGCTACACGTGTACCTCTAGCTCATAATGCTGGGTCACTCTGAAGACTTAACTGAAGGCAAAAATTTTCAACCAAGTTTAAGCAACCTTGTTGTAACCGTATTTTGACTTGCACTAGATCGAAGAACCAAACCAGATTTTGGGGAACACATTTTGATAAGGACAAGTTTTTGCTGATAGCAACATAAAAGGACTTTTGACATTTCAAAGGTTTTTAAAGAAAGTAGAAATTATCATTAAATCTGATTTGGATAATCACATGACTCCTTCAAGAAGAAAAATGCTTGAAACTCCTCTTGCAAAATGTATAATTCTTATTTCATTTTATTGGAATGAAATTCTGCCTTCTTGTTAACCCTTACCAAATTGTGCTTTTGCAGAGTAGTAAAGAAATCATTGAAGTTTAAAACTTTGTGAACTATTAAAATTAACAATATGTCACTTGCTGTTTATTTTTACTCTAATAAATTTTTAGATGTGCTTTAATTTTGTATTATGACTACCTTATGTGTCTGTCTAGGTGAAGGTGATACAACTCCTACTACAACTAGCTTGGATGGTAAGTAAGTTTGCAGATGTACTGTGCACTGCATGTATTACAATATCCTCTAGGACTAGCCATTTCTTTCTGATTAGGAAATAAGAGGAAGATCAGTTAAATATATAAAAAAAAAAAAATACAGCTTGAGAAAAATTGCTTTTCAAGAGGCAAATGTAGAATAGCTTTATTATACTCCTTTATCTATTCTCACTGTCCTGCCTTGCCAATGGTGAGATATGGTAATGATTTTCAGTGTTTGCTTTACAACTATGTAAATCTCAAAACCCCTATTTTTATATATATGTATTTTATATTCCCTATGAATATTTATATAGACTGACCCAGCTTGAATTGAAGTAGTTTTGATGCTCTAGAAATATACTTCATTGTCGCAGGAAAGTTAATCTGTAATAAATATTGACCTTCTTGTGGTCCTTATGTGCAACTGTACAGGTTTCCTACCGCTGTTTTTAGTAAAATGTGATCTCTGGACCTGCTTTCAGATCCTGTCATTCCTTGTGCCTCAACAAAACATTTGAGAGTTGTAAATGGAATCCCAACACAAACTAATGAAGGATGGGTGGTTAGTTTGACATACAGGTAACGATCATTTTGATTAGAAAGACAATACATCTGCTAGGATATTTGTTTTGGAACTGTAGAAAATGTTGACCATAATAAGAATACTTCTAGACTGCAGTTAAATTCTGTAGAAGCAGAAAATCAGCACTCCTGGAACATCAGGTGATTCTATAGTATTCATTCCATCAGTGAAATATTTATATTTTCACTATCACTAATTTACATACATGAGCTTGTAAAGCATTCATAGCATTCTGCTCTTTCAGCTAGTTACTGCAGACCTTTTCATAACATTGGCTTAGCATCCAGTATTAAACAGTTTATTTTAGAGGCTGTTACAAAAAAATTGAGTTTCATATCAATATTTTAATTTTGACAGCAGTGCATTTAGTTGTGAGTGGATTTATACGTGTGTCATATTTAGCGTTCTGCTCATATCATTGCATGCAATTGAAATGTATTCTGTATCAAAAAAGTAAGTAGAAGCTATAGGAAAATCCTTTTCATTCTGTAAAACAAGACCCTAATGTGCAGCTGGAAATGTGTATTACATTATGGCAGATCTTACTTTGCTACTGTGTAAAAGCCAGAACACAGATTACTGTTTCCTACGTTCATTACTTTCATTCATAACTCATCAGCTGGAAGTGTGAATCATTAATGTATAACAGGAGATATATCTCATGCATCAGGCTTGTTATGTTCTATTATGAACAAAACCAGGAAGTAAAAAAAAAAACCTTTTTTGTCTGCGGGTACAGACTAAAGTACAGCTCATTTCTATTAGCTTATGATTCGTCATCTCTTTAAAACCACGTTGTAAAGTAGGTCTTAAATGAAAAATTGGAGTAAAGGAAAAGATAAAAAGCTTATTTTCTACATTGCTTCATTGCTAGAGAAATTCTGGGGTCCTTCCCATCTTTGGTAATCTTTACAATTTATGAGCTCCAGTCAGAACTAGACCTTTCTTGGAGTCTAACAGATGGTCCAGAAAGACATTTCTAAAGGAACACCACTCTAGTCCTAGATTAAATAACCAGGTCTGTGGGCTGAATCACTCTCTGGAAAAGTTTATCTCTCCAGTATTTTTAAAGCAGCCTTGATGTTTGAGGAATTTTTAGACAGGTAAGGTGAATTACATATGGGTGCCTAAAATTCAAATAGCTAATGTTAAGGTAGTTGAACCTGGAATTTGTGCTATGCAACAAAATTCCATTAAGCAAATGAGTGCTTAAATGATTGCAGATTCTTTTATGAAAAAGGGATTCCTGGAATACTCCAGCAGCAAAATATATTTCTAAGTATTACATGTGGGCATAGAAATGTAGTTTTATTTTGTATTGTTACCAAGGAAGCAAATAGAATCTTGACTGAAACAAAATCTTAATGACTTCAGGACTTTCTACAAAAAAATAACTATACTCCTCAAAATGGAATTGCTATGTCTCAACAGTAAAGGCTTGGTGATACTTAGAAACTTGTATTCATATTTGGCAACCAGGGACCACCTGTAAATGTTAAATTAATCAATGACATATTTTCTTATATATCCAATCCGAATTCTGTTATCAGGTATATTTAAGTATATTTGGATTAATTTAATCTATTTCATGGAATCAGCTCTGGATTTGTGCCACATTTAAATAAGTTTAGCCTTCCTATGTGTATGAGTCAATCTTCTAAAACAGATGATGCAATCTTGTAAATTCCTTTTGATAATTAGTGATGCAAATATAATATGCAAGAACACATTTGTATTCCTGATTGTGACATTTTTATAATAAAACTGGGCAGAATCTATATTTTAAGAAGAATCCAGCCTTTTGGACCAGACATTTTGTTGCTCAACCAAAATACAATTAAAAACAAAACAAAAAAAAAAAAAAAGGAGGCTAGCATCTGTGTTTTCGGCTGTCTTTGAACTCCATATAGAGTCTGGGCTCCTTCCAGCAGTTCTTTGCAAAGCTTTGAACATTTGTGTGATTTGAATTTATAAATTGTGAGATTTTAAGCTTTTCCTAAATTGCTGACAATTCTGATTCACTTTCCAAAGAGCTGCAGAAAATAAATGTGATTTTGGAGGCACAAAGAAGGAAACTAATTAATCTGCATTCCACAGTCATCTTTATTTTTGAAAGAACTGTCATGCTTAATTGCTTTAATTTTACTTGATATATTATGCTGCAGGTTTTCTATAATCACATGTAGGATGTCATGCATTTCAGATTGTTTCCAACTGAAGTATGTGGGGACAGAAATCTCATAGGGCTGGTAATCAAATAGGAACTCTCCACCTTGAGGTCAACGCTTTGAATAATACCTACATGAATAATGACTAAATGTTGTTTACATCTGGTGGCAGTCTGGGGACTTGCTTGAATGATTCAGTCCGGTTTCTATTACAAAAAATTAGCTTAGCTTTTTTTTTTTTTTTTTTTT